CGGAGTATAGGTAGGCTGGCTTTGGGGGCACATTGCAAAGCGCCAAAACAGGGAGTACAAGGAGATATGGGATGGACGTCATTTGAGAGCAGGAAAGTGGTGAGCAAGATAGAATTTGAGGATCGGATGAGGCAAATGGATGGGGAGCAATGGGCACGAAAGGTTTTCAGCTGTTTATACATGAGGAGTATAGACACAAAGTGGAGACAGCGCACTAGGAAATTAAGAGGAAAGTTTTTAGGCTATAGTGGAGATACGGAAGAGCAAGTCTCAGTTAAGAAGAAAGTTAAGGCCACAGAAAGAGATCGGTGGCTAGACGGAATGCAGACAAAGACGGCTCTGGAAAGCTATATCTTAAACAAAACAGTTATTGCCAAAGAAAGCATTTATGACAATTCTAGGGGAAGCTCATTGTTGTTTGAGGCGAGGATGGGTGTTCTGCGAACCAGAACATACAGAGCGAAGTAGCAGGAAATGGATACAGTGTGCACTGCTTGTGGAGAGGAGGACGAGACGGCTGAGCACTTGATAATCTACTGTAAAGGGCTTCACCTTATGCCTACAGAAGACAACATGGATTTAATAAAGTCATTGGGTCTTAGAGACAGCGAAGGGAGAGTGGATTTCAAGACTGTAGAGATTACCAAGTAAAGATTAAGTGAATGGTGGCAGAAAGCGAGAGAAAACTAGATATTTTCTTATTAATTGATGGCAAGGGGGTTTTATAGCCTCAGTTTCTTTGCAGCGCGGAGTGAATATAGATTTCACATCTAAATATTCTAAGCTTAAATGGTAAAACAAAATGGCTAGGTGGCGTAAGCTACCTCCCGATCCAAAGGGCTCAGCCGGATTCATCCATTCATCCATCCATCCGCTAGAGTCACTGTATATGCTCCGCTTGCGGAGCACATAAGCAGAGCCTATACAATTACTCTAGGGTGCGCTCTTTGGACGCCCTCGGAAGCTCCTGTCGCCGGCTTTGGAGACGTGTGGACATAAACGGGCTGCGTCGCGGTTCCTCGTAATCCGTCGTTGAGGTTGCTCTACGGAAGTTGTCAATTCTCTCGAAGCAGCCGACTTTCACATTGGGCCAGCCGTGCGTCGTGCCAAGGTGTCAGCTGGCCAACCGGAAAGCCCGGGAGTGTCGTTCTATCGTTCTACAGGGTGAGAAAGGAGACGGCAGGCTCTTTAAATCGACCGCAAAATTCGGTTTCTTAACATATCACGCTACGACTTTGTGCAGTGTTGCCCACAGATGGTGCATTTTTTGTTTGTAAAATTTGCAAAGAGCGAACTTACCTGAGGAAAAAGTAGAGAAAGAAAAAGGCTTAGCTCCTCTGGAAACGTAGCGACGCCACTGGTCTTCGAACAACACGGCGCCGTTTCGCACGGGACACAAGAGATGGCGCAACGAACGCCGCCAACGAACGACCATACGGCGCCGAGAGCCAGCGTCTTTAGCAGACGATCTTTTCGACTCAAAAGCGGCGCGCGTTCCGCAGGCGGCGACAGTCGCAGAAACAAAAACAGGCGCGGTAACAACAAGGAACTGCAGTTCCTTGTCTGCTGAAAGGCCGGCTCTCGGCGTCGTCTGCTCGTTCGTTAACGGCAGTTGGCGTCGCGACCGCTTGCGCCATCTCTTGTCTCCCGTGCGAAACGGCGCCGTGTTGTTTGAAGACCGGTGGCGTCGCTGCGTTCCCATAGGAGCTAAGCCTTTTTCTTTCTTTACTTTTTCCTCAGGTAAGTTCGCTCTTTGCAAATTTTACAAAAAAAAATTAACCATTTGTGGGCAACGCTGCACAAAGTCGTAGCGTGATAGGCTAAGAAACCGAATTTTGCGGTCAATTTAAAGAGCCTGCCGTCTTTTTGTTTCACCCTGTACAGTCGACGTGACAAACGGCGAACTGCCGTAGCGATCGCAGGTCTTCCTCGTTTCTGACGTAGTGTCCGTCGTGAAAAACAGCCTTTCCACTCTCGTGAAGAAGGAAGACCAGCGGAGCTGTACTCGATACACTCTGTGGTTCTTCTTCGTCGTCGTCTGTTTCTCGCGCTGTTTCCTGCGATGAATTCCCACCAGCGCGCCCACTATCCATTCTTCTATTATAGCTGGAAAGGTGGGCACCATCTACGAGCGATGGCGGAAACCATACTGGTTGTGTGTTTGCCGCCGTCGCTTATATATGGCGGTAGCTGTCAAGGTAGGTTTGTGTCGACATACACGGACACGATCCTGGGGAACTTAGCCCTTAACAGGTCCGCTGTAAAATGTGTATTTTGGTCTAACGTCTCTCAAGCAACTGCCTAGGGAAGCAAGTATGATTGTGAAGAAGCAGGGGACTCGCTGATATCAAAAAATACAAAAAACAACAACCAAAAAAAAAAAACGTCTGTTAACCTTTCTTTCGGTGCAATAATCATCTGTGAGCATATTTTGAATGTGCTCGGCTGCACACGCTCATCGACAACTAAAAATGCATATTGCAGCGTTTACCATAATACAAAAAGCATTAAACAAATTGTGTTCTTGCCCTTTTTGGCGCTATCATTCCTGAAAAGTAACGCGACCAATCAATCGGTTAATTGAGTGAGTAATGGGTGCCGAATAATCGGGTTAACATGTTTAACATTGTCCATCCTTAATGACGACTGTTCTCCTCACTCCAAGGAATAATCCGCGTAGAGTCCTTCTGAATCATCTCTAAAAACAGCTCTTCAGGTTGGGAGGGGGTACAGACAAGTCGTGTACGTTTCATTGTCTTAATGTTTTGAAAAAAAAAATATTTTTTTTTTCAGAAGGTTTTTTAAGACAAGGTTGTCTCGGATACCGTCCGATTGTCGAGGTGTGACTGTCTTTTACACTGTTGGGCTGTGTTATTTGATAATTTTATCTAATAGATCGCTTTCGGATAACGCTGCACCGTGTGATACGCACAATCAGAGCCTCTATAGAAAAGGCTATGGTAGAATCTATGCGGAGAGCAAGTCGTCTGCTTCTTGCGCAGGAGTTGCGGTAACGTCAAAACGATGCAGAGCTCCTATTGGCGGAATGAATCCCTGGAGAAGGGGAACAAGAGGGACAAAGGACAAGCACAAATCTTCCAACCGGGCTAAGTGACTGGTGCGCGACCGAAAAAATCCGCCTGGTCCGGGTATCGAACCCGGGACCTCTCCACTACAGGTGGAGCGCTCTACCAACTGAGCTAACCAGGGGTTAGACGTCAGTAGAGCAGACGGGTTTTATCAGCTGCCACCAGTCGAACACCAACAAGGGTGAAGCTTTTCGGTCGCTCACCAGTCACCTAGCTGTGTTTGGAGATTTATGTTTGTCCTCTGTCCCTCTTGTTCCCCTTCTCCAGGGATTCATTCCGTCATTCTTGTCCAGCTCGCTTGCACCTTTGCATTTGCATTATAATGCTCCTATTGGCTTTGATTGAAAGGAAAGTGGGTAGAACTCAATGCTAGATCGCTTGAAGTCTACCCACTATTTTTGTTAATCAGCAAATAAAAGTTCGATGTTTTGACATCATCGCAACCCGTACGCAAGAAGCAGACGAATATGCTCTCCGCATTGTTCGAATACTGACACTCGCTAAATTTCATGCACGACTCCTGTTGTGTAGGTCGTTAATCACGTCAATTTTGGCCGAGAAATATGCGTGTCTTTCGGCTATCTTCTCTCGCAAATTATTTTCGACAGCTCAGCGCTTTGTCGATAGATATTGGCTGAGACGGCGGCGCCGTTAAAACTCATCGTAAAATAAAACAAGCATTTTAGTAGCAGTCACTGTGTCGAGCGTGTACCCCCAAAAATAGTTTACAGATTTGTAATGTGCTACAGCGCTTTCTTAATATCATCGGAAAAATACGTACACAATGAAACGCAAAAAAATAGCGGGAAAAGGCGAGAATTGAACCGCCAGTAATATTTGAAATTTCGCCTACGCAAGCTGCAGCGCCTGTCGAAATGAACAGCGGTTAAAATAAGCCGGGACAACGGTGAGAGACTAGCCTCAAACCTAGTAAACAGACTCAAAAAAAGTTCTTTCTTTTTTTTTTTTTTTTTTTTGTGGCCAAGCATTTTTTTTTTTTTTGGAGGGGTGTATACATTGGCACGTGGCCTGACGTCACGCAGCTGAGGTGGCGCTGCTGTCGACGCAGCGGACGAGCAGACGTATTACTTGACGCGGGTCACGTTCCTGCGCGTACTCCGTGCCCACGCCACACGCGAACGTATTGCTTAACAGTATGCTGGTGGGTCCTCTTTACAAACAAGTTAGAATTTGCCAAAACCAGGAGGTGGGGACTGCGCGTGCACGGGAACCAGATCCGCGTCACTGATATGTCTGTTGATGTGCCACGATGACAGCAGCGCCACCGCAGCTGTCTGACGTCAGGGCCGTCTTTTGGTGTGTCTATAAAAAACGACTATTAGTGTCTGAGTTGACCAGAGACGTTGGCTATTGTCAAGCACACTATAGAATTATCTAAGATTGCGTGAGCAGTTAAATAACCATGGCATATGTGATAATATGCTAGTGAGAGAACAAGCGTGACCTCAGCGCTAAGAAATGAATGAGCACCAGAAGCCTCAGGTACTCGTTCGTGCTAAAAATTCTTACTTTGTTTTACTAAAAAAAAAAAAAAAGTTTTCAAAATAGATTTTTTGAGACGTTTATTGTCAAGGAGTTTTAACCTCTTGAATACCCACCGCTTTCGAGCATGTCGAACTACTCGCTTCACCTGATACCAGTAGAAACGACGATATATTAAAAAGCGCCGTGTTTTTTCACCTCATGTGCCCCTATGTTTAAGCCATATAACACTAAGTTGCTGACATTGTGAGCATTTTCTAATATATTAAAACATTTCATGTCAAACCCAGGTTTTCGGTAAAAACTGTCTTAAAATATTAGTCTTCGCATCATACAAAAACTATAAAGTCGCTTTGGAATATCTGATGTGTATTTTATTGTTCGCAAGACTTACTAATTACGACTTACGCCATGTCCATTTATTCCGCACCAAATATCTACTGCCCCAAGAAAAGTTCTGTAGCAGGAAGCACCACGAGTATCCCTACGATAACGTTCGCCCTCTGAAAAAAAAAATGTTATGAGGGTAAAAGTAGGCAAGAAGATTAGAGTGAGTTTTAGTATTTGGAATACGAGCAAACGCCAGGCACTGCGTGTTTGCGTTAACACTACGTAAATGCTGGTACCTTTCTTTCAAATATTGTAGGCACAAGTTTGCCTAATTAAATTTGATTTTACTTTTACTATTGTTGAACCTTTTTATTAGTAACAATAACAATTTTAGGTAATCGAACAAAACATTTCAATGGCAGATTTGCAAATTGGGCCATCTGCAAAAAACATCCAATGATATTGATGAATATCTTCATCCCTGTTAGTTTTAGTACTACAACTTATGTGGTTTTTCATAACTGATTTTTTAACCCTATGTACAGCTTCAAACCGCAATACCCCGGAGGGTCGTGACCACCTTATTTGCAACATCAAGATAATCTAATTTCTTGAATCCATGTAATAAATTAAAGATTGGCAGTCCTGCAGTGTACCGTGTGTGAGACTCTTAAATGGTATGCGATACACCGACTTCCTTTTGGTCATATCTCTATTAATACTACTTATTACAACCTTTTCAGTCGTCCGACACCTGCCGTTCTAAAGCATTGCTTGCAATATCAAACGACGTTCAGACAGCAGCGGCGACATCCAATCACTGGTGTTTCTTATTTCTTAAAGAATTAAAACAAGCAAAAATATTTCGAAAGAAATAACAAAGAAAATATCATATTTGTTAAATGTCCATATCTCTAAAACGACTTACCAACTTGAAATGCCGGTAGAAGAAGCACCACGGCGCAAAGTACGAGCAGCATGTTGCATATATTCCAAAATATAATCACAGTCCAACGGGAGTGTCTACCTAAAAGAGTAGCAATAGCATAAATAGAGCCTCTATACTCGACAACGCATTTTTTTGTTGTTGTTTTTTTGAAATCGTGTAACGGCTTGAATCTTGGAGATTTTGAAATGTAGAGGCAACGCGTTTAAAGGGGCACTGACACCCCAAAGGTCGTATTTATTTTTATTGTTTAAAACGATGCAAGTTGCAGTCATAGACACGCAAAAAAAACCGCATCGCGAAAAAAAATTTTCGCGCGCGCGCGCGCGCCTTTTTGTTTTTGGCGTTTGATTTTCCCGCCTCTCGCCTCCTCGCTTCTTTTGATCGGTGACGTCAAAAATCAGGAAATTTAGAAGCTTAGTAGGCGTCATCTCTATAACATTTAATTACGGCAATCCTAAAACATGTTTTTTAACGCAATTGCGAACGCACTACGGCCCTTCTTTTTGAAATACCGAAAATCGGGAGTTCGTTGTGGTGCCGTCTCCTGGATTTGTATCCTCCAACGGAAAACAGGCGACACCGCTCAAAACCGGTCCGCCGCGACGCCGCCGCTCACTCCTTTCCTCCTCGCTTTGGGTCGCCATGGCAACAGCAGGGAGTGGTGAAAGAAAGTCGACTCTCAGGTCTCCGCAATTTTTGACGTCAAGGCACCGGCGCCGATCGTGCGGGAACTTCGAATTCGGCATTTGGAAATTGTTTTTTTACTTCACAAATACTGAATTCCCGAATTTCAAATTTTGAGGGTAATGTTCCGGCATCGTTTTCAATCGTTTCGGATAATAAAAAAAAATATGACTTTGATGTGTCAGTGCCCCTTTAAAGGAGAGCTCCCGCGAAACATTAATGATAATCGAATTTTATAAAACATTCAGCACGTACTAAATATTCTCCCCGACACAAGTCTAAAGATCAAAATATTTATTTTCTTTTCAGAAAACAAATTTTGAAGTTTACGCGTCCGCGCAAACTTCAAACTGCCACTCTACCGGCCACACTGAGCATCGGCAGCTTTGATTGTGACGTCAAAAGTTGTATCCAAGAGCAGTCCCCATCCGGTGCAGCTCCTCGCAGAAGCATTTCGTATTAAACGCGACATGACTGGCAAAGACATTCTGTGTAGTAATCCGCCTTAGTTTCTAAGGTTGGCTTTTTAGCACAGCGATGCATTCAAGGCCGTACTCGGCGCTAACTTTTTTTTACGCGAGAACTCGAACTTGAGAACACAGATCCAGTGGCGTCACTATGATCAGCGGCACCCGAGGCGGTCCGCCCCCCCCCCCCCCCCCCCCCCTCACCCCTTTCTGAGGGCACTGCACAGATCCCCCTCCATGCGCCGGCAAGAAACGTCGCGATCATTTTAATTCCAGCACGTGTAAGCAATCCGCCGGCAAGCGAAGAGCAATTTGATTGTTAAGAGGAGCGAAAACTACCTCTCACGTAAATTTTATCAATTGCTGGCTCTGATGCATGTCGTCTCGTAGTGATTTGCAGACCCCCGCGAACACGAACGCTTTGCAGAGGCATATTCCAGAGTAGATAAAATAAAACCTTGGCGTCGGGTGGCCGTCGCTGACGCTTACGACTGCGGACACAAGATTAAAACCGAGCTCCGAGCAACGGCTACGGGTCGAATGAAGTGAAAACCCACACAGAGAATGTTGGACGCGGGCAGGTTTTCGAATTTCAGGGTGTCACAACTTCACGCTGGATCGAGGCCGAGAAACACGGTCGCGGGAAGGCCCAGACGCGGCGAAGATGCTGCAGGCACAGGTCCGAGTGGGTACAGCCTCGATAAACGCAGACGCTGACGTGGACGGCGCTGCCAACCACTGGCTTCCCGTGTGGCTTCCCGCGTCCCGTCTAGGTGTCGAACGCTGTCAATAATGAGCTCCTGTTAGCTTTGCGTGCTGTGTCTGGTATGCGATGAACAATAAAGAGGGGGGAGGGGGATATACCCTCTGGTAGTGGGTGCCACAACTCCGCGAAGAAATGCAGGAGAGCGAGATATCATCGGTTTACGACCGACAAGTGAATGAGATGGAAGCGGGCATGGCCAGTGCGACGCGAAAGCAGGCTCTCAGCGTTCCCGGCGTGCTAGCAAGCAGTTTGCACCGAGTTAGCGAACAAAACCATAGCCTCCTCTACACTCACAGAGCTTGGTAGTTTGACAACGGGGCCATAGACTGCCCTGTCGCAGATTTGGAGCGCGAGTATCTGGTACTATAGACCCTTTCTCCAAGGGCGCCGCCATATTTAATTGGCGTCACTTCCAGTATGGGCGAAAACATTGTTTAGCCGTCGCCACGCCAGTAGAAGACACTTAGGATATAAGCGTAACCGTGACACGTTCTAGTTTTGCCTCCCCCTTATTTTTCTGCTAGTTACAGGTTAAAACGTTTTAGTATTTTTTCGTCGCCCATACCGGATACGCCTATTGGGTGATTGAGGACGAGAGTACACAGAAAAGGTCTATACAGAACGTCAAAGAGACATTCTCGGGGAACCTAGACGTCAGCGTAAAGTTTTTGCAGCGGCGAGGACCCGAAACACACTCGTTCGCTCGGGAGAAGTGTGTTTCGGCATCTCACCACAGCGGGGCGCCAGTCACGTGGCTCTCCTCTCATTCGTTTTCTGCCACTCCACCTTTTCGTAGTGTGTGTGTGTGAGGGGAGCAGGGAGGGGGGGAGGGAGGGGAGGGGGGTATGCCCAGATGTTCCGAGGCCCCACCGTCGGCGGGCGGAGCGGGCGCACCCAGCGGGAGGAGGGGAAAGCCTATCGGGCAGTCGTAGCCGCCTGACGGGTATCCGACTCACTACACGCAAGCCAGCCGATGGAAGCATAATTTATCAGGGCTTCACTTCGCTCCTTTTGTAGAGGTGAATTTAGCTGACAGTCTGCGTGGCTTATTGCGCGGCTTCAAAACTGGAATGCTTCATATGGCGGTTCACTTCGCTCCTTTCGGACAGGGGAATTTAGTTGCCGTCGGCTCGCTCCATGAGACAAATGCTTTCGTATAATTAACAAACTTTATAGCCCACAGGAAGCTTGCGAAAGAGCGCAAGCACCATGTGACTATAGTGGCCAGCCACGTGACTCTAGTAGCCATTTTTCTCCGTGTTCCTACGTGCGCCAACTACAAATTGGTTTCGCGCTGTGAATATAGTTCTAAAACATTTTTTTGTTTCGTTATAAATTTGTTTTATCAAATAAATTTTGTTATCCAGGTTTTTTTGTTTTTTGTTTTGTCCTTAAACCGGTAGGTGCAATATATGAAGGCAATGACGGCAAATCAAATGCGAACGGCGAATTGTTTAAAATCTCATGTTGAACTTGAAACATTTGCCGGTCATTGCTTGACCCAGAAAAAGATTCATGAAGCTTAGTCCATAGTTTTCCACGGACGATCGCGACGGCTTCTGACGCTGGGCGAGGCAGGCTCCAGCTTCCCTTACGTGCTGATGTTTACACGATATCGTTTGTCAAGGGAAGATGGCGGACTAGTAAGGTTGGTACTGTGATATTGTGATACGAAGTCCGGTTCGAAACAAGAAACGCGGCATAAAAATACTTAAATATTTTTGTTGAAGTTTCACAAAGGAGATTTTTTGAGTATGTCAACAGGAATATTAAGTAGATTTTTTTTTTTTTGAGCCGAAACGAAACCAAAGAAACATTAAGGTAGACTCGCAAAATAAACACAAAACAAAATCTCGCTTGCAACGTGTATTTTTTGATGCCTTGAAATACTACTCTCGCAATTTTTTTTTCTTTTCAAGCGGCACTTTAGAACGTAGGTTAAACACAACAAAACCAGACCTGTACATCTTACCCCCAAAAGGTAACTAAATGATGTTACTGTTTACTCGCACAAAAAGTAACAAAATACGATACTTCTTAGGGATTCTCAAAAGCAAAGCGTCACTTTACCTCAAGAGTATCGAGTTAGTTTTCTCGTTACTTTGATGACAAAATACACAACTGCTTTTGTTTCGCAGTTTATCGTGTTATATTCAGTACTCTTTGAAATTAAGTAGCTGCCTCTCGAAGTTTTTATCAATCATGTTTCCCCGCTTCTTTGACAATAGATCTCCGGCTATGAAGAAGAGTTGTTCTACTGACGCGCTCGAAGGAACGGCAGAGTTGTGCTTCAGGAAGAGCTGGTAAAACTAGGATCCTCCTCTCTCTTTTGTTCTCACTGCTTCTAAAGTTCGATGTTGACTTTGGGTTCTGTGCTTTTCCCCGATTAACAACCTCCGGGCTCACATTCGGTCTGCGCACAATTCTAGAAGCTTCAACAAACCAACCTAATTGTGTTCGCTGGATGATGAACATTCCCACCTGAAGAGTTTAGCAATAAACGTTGTATATGCCCTCATACTGTTTGGTTGTTTTTCGGTTTGCCCACCTGCATTCGTCGCAACAGATGCATACTAAGCTTGGAATTAAAACGAGGCTGTTGATACGTTGTTGTACATGTGACTCCTCAAAAAGTAACGAAATACCGTTACTCGTTACTTGGCCGTAAAAGTAACTAAATACATTAGTCGTTACTTTTTAAAAAAGGTAACTAAATAGGTTACTTGTTACTGAAAAAAATAACTTTTTTTGTTCCTTTTCTAAAAAGGTAACAAAGTAGGCTACTTCTTACTGAAAAAAGTAACTTTTTTCGTTCCTTTTCTAAAAATGTAACTAAGTAGGTTACTTTTTACTGAAAAAAGTAACTTTTTTCGTTCCTTTTGTAAAAAGATAACTAAGTAGGTTACTTGTTACTGAAAAAAGTAACTAGGTAGGAGTAACTCAATACTAGTAACGCGTTAGGTGCATGTCTGGACAAACCACCCGAAAAAGCAAGTAAAAAAAAAAAAAAAAACAGAGTGAAGTGTCTAAGTTTGTGTCGGTCTTTTACCTGCAGTATCGTTTTTTATTATAACGAAATATACACAAGCTCGTTTGCGTACTTCCATTCAGTTCATTAACATAGGTTGA